GGAATGATGATTATAAGTACCTTTTGTTATAACTGCAGTCACTTGGTTGGTTATCGCTTGCTTTGCATCTTGCACAGAGATTTAGAAATGTCAATTTAAAGTATTTGGATAGAAAGTGTTTTTGTGTAAAAATTTCAGATCATTAAGACCCCTAGACAGTGAAGATTCTGATGTAGCCCTAAAAATGCAGTAACGATATTTTAATGATATTTTAAAGTACATTTATTGAGGTAAGAAATGTCAAGGCAGAACCAGCAGGTGGCCTAGTGGTTATGTTGCTGGACTCCCACATGGCTGGCTTTGGTTAGAGTCTCTGATCCGGTGGCTCAAAATCACACTGGTGTGCTAGTTTGTGTGTGTGTGTGTGTGTGTGTGTGTGTGTGCCCAAGATCCCTGGAGGAGAATAGAGAAGAAGACATCGAATCATGGCTATCCTACCATCCTACCTGGGTGGTAGTTTCTCATTTTCCCTCTCATTGTGTCTTATCTGTCTGTTTCTCTTACCTGAGTGCACATGTCCTAAGGTAAAAACCTTTTTAAAAAATCAAGGCAAGTCTTTAACAATGATGCTTAAAGGGGCTAACAGGTGGTGTGGTGGTAAAGGTGCTAGATACCCACATGGCTAACCATGGTTCAAGTCCTGGAACTGGTGACATGAAAATCACACTAAGCACGTGTATGTGTCCCAAAATCCCTATAGGAGAGTGGAGGAAATGGGAGTACAGCATTGGCCAACCCCCTGGAGGGTAATTTCTCACTTTCTCTGTCTGTCTCTCTGTCTTTAGCAAGCACACACCTCTGTGGCAAAAATCTATAAAAGAAAAAAAATAGATTTTTAAATGAATCTAAAAATAGCAAGAATCTATGAATTTAAATGTTTTTAAACTGTTTAAAAAAGAGAGAGAGAGAGAGAGAGAGAGACGGGACCAGCAGTTAGTGTAATGGCTATGTCCCGTGTCCAAAATCCCGACAGGAGCATGGAGGAGAAGGGATTGCAGCATGGGGCCATCCCCCCTTGGGGGGTGATTTCTCGCTTTCTGTCTCTCTGTCTCTCTCTGTCTGGCGAGCACACGTGCCCTATAGCAAAAACCTCTTCAAAAAAAAAAAAAAAGAGAAAGAGAAGCATTGGCCTTTAAATGATTGATAGTGGCATAATTTATATGCGATAAAATAAACGTATGTTAAATGTGTTGAGTTCTCACAATAATACCTATCAGTGTAATTACAGGTCTAGAATCTTGTTCTATATCCAGATCAAGATATAGAACATTTCCATCTCTAGAAGTTTCCAACTGTCAGTTTAACCACCACCCTCCCCTTCCACTCTACGTTTCCCCAGCAGCTTTCTGATTTCTACCTTGGATTTTGTACTGAATATAGGTTATGCTTCTTTCAATCCACATGATAGATTTTGCATTCACTCATTTTGTTATATATCAGTAGACTATTATTATTATTATCATCATCATTATTATTATTGCTACTGGGTTGTTATAAATGTGTCCAATTTTTGTTTCAATTCTTTTGTCAAGGGAAACCTTTCCCTTGTTACTTATTACTATAAAGTTACTTATTACTATAATAAGGCGCTGGACATCTTGAAGTCTTTAAGAAGTATTGTTTCATTTCTCTTGGGTAAACACTGTAAGTGAAATTGATGACTCATAGTGTAAATAAAGGTTTAGCTTCATAAGAAATTGTCTGGTTCCAAAATTGTACCATTTTCTAACAGCAGACTATGGGGGTTCCAGATACATAGCTATTTGCATGTTCTATTTCCTCATGTGAACCTTCATAATTGTGCTATTCAAGAAACTTACCAGTTTCATCTAAATTGTCATATCATTTGCATTCATTTATCCATAATACTGCTTTTCATTTCTGTAGAACTTTAGAAATAACTCCTCTTTCTCTCCTGATACTTGGA